CCCCTGCGAAAAGAAGTGTTTTGTTTTTGCTTTGGGTATTTTTGTTTCTCTCTGCCCCCCGCCCCCCCCCCGTCGCTGGGGAATAGTGGTCTCCACTATTCCTGGGAGTATGGCTGAACGTTTATGGACTTGAACCATTGTGAAGTACAGAAATAGCCATACTGATCCATTTTCTTTGTTTTTGTGTTGGATGATCTCCAGGAAAAGCTGGGTTCCAACAACAGTAGAGCCTTGGCAGCCCAGTTTCACAATAAGCCAGGTAGCAGCTAAAGCCTTGGGTTTTGATCAAAACCCAGCCTGCACAATCCAAAGTTGAAGGGGTGATATCAGTACTGATATCTCCTCTGGTGGAGAAAATTCGTGGATGTAAATGACCCAGGTGACGGAGAGAAGATTACACCATAGTCAAGAGGAGAGAGTTAGCTTTCCAGAAGACATTCCTTCCCTAGAAGCAGCAATCAGAGCCAAAGTTCTGATATGGGATCTTCCTTGGCAGTTACAAGGGCATCAAGCTCAACTTGCAAGAGCATGCTTGGTGCATTGCCAAAAAGAAGAGAGGTGCTGCTAGCAATGCAAAATGCTATACTGAGTACCACTTGAGCAAACTAGAGGAAGGTGATGAGATCTGACCAGACTTGGAAAGAGTTGTCTGGCAGTATATCTCTTGCTCACCAACCAACATTCTGAGATGATGTTCTCCAGGACAGGTGATATGGTGATACTTCATTGCTCATGCCTGGATACTGACTTTGTGGAGCAACCTGTCTTTCTTAAAATGAATCTCCCTTTGCTATATTTTCCTAACCTGCTACTTAAAAAGAACTAGCTGCTTACCTCCCTCTCCAGATTGTTGGCAGTAGTCTGTCCAGATATGACCAATAGTGAGGGGTAAATGGTGTTCCTAGGACACCAACAAAGCTGACTTATAGACTCTCAGCTGTAAACAGCAAGCATGGTTATACATGCTGCCCAAAAGACACAAAAGGAAGGATGATAATATTTCAAAAGATACTCTGCTAAAAAAAGTAGCACAATTTTTCTTTGGAGAAAAAATAATTCATGACTACATATAGGTACTGCTTAAGAAGAAATAAGAATGTTGCTTAAAAAAGCAGTAATACAGTTAGAGGCTCGCTTGATACATCTCAATATAATCAGTTCACAGTACGGCAACCACTTAGAACTCAAGCAGCCAACACGGCTATTCTTCAGGGCCCAATTCTCTGTTTGCAAATGTCCTATAGCAAATGCTTTGCACCCTGCAGTAAATTAAATAGAACTCTGGAGAGATCAAAGCTCAATGGTAGAGCTTTAATAGTATTTTCAAACAAAAGAACTATGTTATAAATAATATGAAAGACTTTGCTAGGGTTCCTGGATTAGAGCACCCAATCTAATTAGAATAACACCAGGCTAATCAGGACAAATAATCTAAGATAGTTTCTTAGGCTATGGATTCCTTTTAATCAACTTTCCTTGTTTCCATCAGCTCTTTCAACTAGTTAAAGACTATAAATGGTTGACCAGAACCATATGAATTCAAAATTCTTCAGCTCTTGCTGGCATGTATTGTGGTAATCCTTTACACCATGTTAAAGAACCTGTAGCCTTGGAAATATTTGCAAACTATAACTGCCAGTATCCTTCGCCAGTAGTCATGCTGGCTATTGCTGTTGGGAGTTGTAGTTCTGCAATATCTGCAGAGCCACAACCACCCCTGCTTAATATCACACTTCAGATCCCCTGATTATGGGCAGAAAAGTCTACACTTCTTATGATACAGTACAGAGTACCGCAAAGCACACACTCACCTTAAGTTGTTGAGAAAGGATCTTCAGTGTCTCTGCCACTTGGTCATTCTCTGGTATAATCCGTATTACCTTATGCCTGTAGAATAATATTAAAGTGAAATCCTAAATAGGATTCTATTTTTAGCCAAAAATGATGTAACCTTGAAACAGAAATAAAATGCAGTAGTTTACATTAGACTTTCTTAACCTGTTGTGCTCCAGATGGATTGGTTTTCAACTACCCTAATTCCCAGCAAGCATGATCAAAGGGAAATATTGGCCTTGAAGTTCAGCACATGTTGAGCAGTTCCAAAACAGACTGAGCAATGGAAATGCTTTCTTCCGGCATGTATTATTTATTATGAAGCACTTATATTAACCTGGATTAACTAGAACAGTTCATTATGGCACCATGAGAGAGCAAGGAACAGGAAATCCAGCTTTGCTTACAGCTGCTAGCACACTTATTTGCACTGAGCTTTTCCCTAATACAAGAATCTTTCAGCTATGCTTTGATGTGTTCCTTTGCTCTGACTCACTGGAACTCTGTCTTCAACATAGCTCCTGGCTTGACTGCTACCTGCTGAAACCTGGTTGAGGAAGGCTTTCATATGTATCTAAAAAGGAAATGTGAAGCAACAACCCCTAAAAACAATTTCATTAACATAATGGCCATGTTTACACTTGATAAGCTGCTCAAATGCATAACATTAAGCTACAACCCATACTAGACAATGACACTGCAGAAGATATACAGGAATGCCTTCTTTTTTTCTGTCATACTAGAGAGCTTTGTGGTTTTTATTGGTCTGGGCCTAGTGTCCAGTTCTGAACATAAAAAGATTACCTACTCATGTCATATTACAGCCCATGTATGATGCTGCTGCTTGTCAGCTATGTTGAACACCACCACATGCATGCAAACATGTCCAAACTGACTTGGTCTGGGATTGATAATACTGAAGTTTGAACTCTACCAGATTAAATGAAAATTTGAAAAAAGGAGTGATGTCTGTGGCTGACATAATCTGATGGACAAATTACTGAATTTATCTTATCTATTTTGCTCTTCTCTGTCAAATATATAATAAATATATATTTGAAGTAACTCGCCCCAGTTACTTCAGCCCACCCCACTTGGTCCAGCAGAAGGGGCATGTTGCAGACCCCACCAGCCAAGGAATTTTGACTGGTGGGGTCTAGGCAGAAGGCCTTTTCTGCTGTGGCCCCCGCCCTATGGAACAATCTGCCTCCTGAGGTCTGATGTGCTCCCACTCTCATGGCCTTCAGGAAAGGGTGAAATCCTGGCTGTGCCAGAAGGCCTGGGGGCCAGATGGGGGCTTGCACCAGTGGAGGTGGCTTGTGGGGTGATTGACCTTGGCCCCCTCTGTCATCTTGAATGTTTTTAGTATTTATGTACAGGGTTTGTTTTTTATACTTGATTTTTAATGGATTAATTTTTTATTATTTATGGGGTATTTTTAATTGTTGATGGGGTTTTTGATTTTAGCTGTGAGCTGCCCAGAGTCACCTGTTGGGGGGAGATGGGCGGCATACACATTTAATAATAAATAAATAAATAAATAAATAAATAAATGGTCTTCATCTAGGTAATGTTACACTTCGTTGTATACCTGTATATTCCTTACCTCTCTTTACTCTGCTAATATTTCAAAATGGGTTTCTACTGATAGTCATTAGTAATGGATAAAGTAATGGATAAAGTATGTACTTTGCAATTGTGATATGATTAGAAAATCCTACCTTCTCCAATACAGTGAACAGTTGACTGTAATGCCACATAATATACAGGCACAGAGCAAATTTGGATATATTTGGAGAAGAAAACACAACTGACAAAGAGGCACAGTTAAGGTATATCCTGAAACTTCAAACTATATTTTTCTATTATCAATTGGACAAATATTAACAGTTTAATATTCAGTATTTAATACCCAGGAATGGTAGGAGATTGTTCAGACTTGTAAACAAATTATTAATTATAGAAAAAAATAACACGCCATCCAGTGAAGTATTAACCCTACACCCCACCACACCCCGATCTATTCATTTATTTTAGAAAGGCTTAAATACACAACGATCATGTGGAGATTATTTAGGGTACCCAATTTTTCTTTGGCAGACATTCAGGAGATACTAAGTTTGTCACATTCTAAGGTTTCTAAGCAGTTTACCTAAATGGATATTGGAAAATTAGAACAAGATTTGTACATATACTGAGATGACTAATGACCAATGAAATGCTGATGGTAAATATGGGTATGCTGTCTGACATTGCTTGCTAGTTTATGTGATAAAACAGCATACCTTTCACTTCCTGGTCGTTCATGAACTTTCCTGGGATATAATCTGAATAGTTCTTGTGTACATTTATTGTGCAATCCTATTTCTTTCATATCAATATATATTTTACCTTTAATACAGGTAGTCTTCACTTAACAGTGGTAATTTGGACCGGAATTTCTATCGCTAAGCGATGCGGTCGTAAAGTGTGATGTCACATGACTGCACCGCTTAGCAATGGAAATTCTGGCACTTCCATTTGCCGTTAAGTGAATCACCACGGGTCATTAAGCGAGGATGTCATGTGGTTGCCATCTGCGACCTCCTGCCAGCTTCCCCATTGACTTTGCTTTAGGAAGCCAGCAAAGAAGATTGCAAATGGCGACCATGTGACTGTGGAGATGCTGTGACGGCCGTAAGTACAAAGACGAGTCATAAGTACTACTTATTCAACACTGTCGTAAGTTTGAACAGTTGCTGGACAAGTGGTTGTTAAGCAAGGACCACCTGTAATCCGATTCCATTAAAAGGCCATTTTTATCTGTTATTTTACATTCAAGACTTATTGTGATTTTTAAAAGATTGGTGCATTACATAAACTTTAGGATGAGACAAGATTTGCACCATTTGAAAACTTAAGCTAGCTGTGTGAAGATCTGAGATAAATTCCTGATAACTATTCTCTATGCATGTTGTCATTTTGGCATCATTGTATTTGGCTACAGATGCTGTGTTTATGTATACTTTCCAGTTGGATTTATGAGGGATGGAGATTCAAGTGTTGCTAAAATAATCTTCCCAGCAATCCCAGCCAGTTTAGTCAGTGTGAGGATGCTGGGAACCATAGTTTAACAACATTTGGCAGGTCACATGTGCACACTCCAACACTATATAATTTTGGATTTTTTTCTTCATTGAGATGGTATGTTTTAATAGTAAGAAGTGTTGATAATCATGTCTTCTTGCTGCTACTTTGATTGGCTGAAGCTGATGCTTTCATTTTGCATCATTTTGAGCATTATAACTCACCCCATGACGCTATGTTTGTTAGTTATTGTAGAAGAAAATCCCATCAAACAATGATGAGAAGTGGTAGCAGCAGTGAATGCATGAATTTTAATTTTTCATATGGTAAATATTGATAAATATAACCCTTACAAACAAAAGCTCTTTTGGGAGTCTTCCATAAAAATGTGAAGAAAAATGTTTAAGAAATACTGGGCTATAGTAGAAGAATCTTGGAAGACTGTGTTTTCCCTTCCCTCTTTCTTATACCCCAGGGAGTCAGGGAGGAGCCAGTCTGTGTCTTTTCCTAATACTTCCCTTGTTTTCCAGGTTCAAAACATGTTTTCACACCTGTTGTTGTTGTAACAATTTCTGAATAGTTTCTCCAAGGTCATCTTCATGGCTTCTTACACCTTGAGAAGGAGTGATCTCACTATGGTCTCCTTTAGTCACACTGAGGAAAACACACCATTGGATCCTGGTCTAAAAAATTATAGATTGGTGGCCAATATCTCCTTCTTGGGCAAGATGCTTGAGTATTTGGTGCTTGATCAGATCCAGGCATTCTTGAATGAATGAAACAGAACTTACAGATCCATTAAAATCAGGCTTTTGGCACTGACACATCCTTCATTGCTTTCTTGGATGATATTTACCAGGAGAAAGATAGGGAAGTATAATCCTATTGATACTGCTACATCTCACAGACACTTTCTTTACCACTGAGTAAATTAAATGTGTGTGGAACAGCTTGGAAATGGATCTGCTCATACCTGGATAGCTGTCTCTAGGTAGTGGTGCTAGGTGACTTCTATTAAAATCCATGGTGCTTAAATAGCAGGGTTCCAAAAGGGTTCCTTTTATCTTCTGTTCAACTTTTGTATGAAATCATGGAGCGAGATCATACTAAGATTTTTGTTAAAATGTCATTAGTATGCTGATGACATGAGCTCTATCTCTCTATTTCATCAGATTCAGATAAGGCAAAGGAGCTGCTAAATCAGAAAATGAGATCTTGCCTGGTTGTTAGGCAGTTAGAGAGTCATAGTCAACCTTAGAAGTTGAACAGAGCACAGGTTCAGAGAAGTAAATGTAGTCTATGAGAGTCTGACTCAAACACCAGAGAGGTTAGTCAGCCAATCTGAGTCAAAAGCCGAGAGGCAAGGAGCAGAAGAGAGAAGCAAGGAAACAGGAATGCGAATCCAAGGTTGTCCAAGTTGTTGTCAATGAAGGGCCAGTAGCTGGTGGCTGTTCTTAAATATGGCAAATACAGGTAGGGCTCAATTATAGGCATTGGATGGATCAAGCTCCTCAGCCTCTGACTCTGAAGAGTAGCCCATAACAATTTAAAATAACACATCAATTATTCCAGTATGGCTGATCTTTCATGTTCCTTTGTTGCATGGCTATATCTGGTATCTAACTGGCAATTTAAAGAAAGTACTGAAAATATAATTTGGTTATGTAGCAAAGACTGCTCCTCCCAATCATTCCACAATCCCAAATTGTTTCCAGCAACAATTAAAGCCCTAGAATTCCCACTGAACACTGTAAGTAACTTTCTTTCTATATGCATTAGGTTCTTGGCCTGCCTTGACATCATCAGGAAGGGTCAAAATTGTGGGGTTGTTTTTTCATTCAGATACATAGAATTAGGCATTGGACTCAGGCCATAGAGCAGCTGTCATGTGTTAAATGCTTTGTCACTGCTACATGACCTAGAGGTGAAATGCTTTGTATCATATTACCATTTCCATGTACTTTTTTCCTAAAGCATATGGAATGTTTTTTAAACTTCAATGAATGGTTGTGTTTTGACTTCAGTATGTACATACTTGGCCCTACTGTTTTAATAAAAATGAAAAACTCAAGGCAGTTATTATTTCCTTCTGTTTATCCTGAATCATGTACAGAACAGTTATGAACAAAATCTGAATATGTTGTTAACTGAAAAAGTACGATTTTAGTTCCACTGATGCAAAATGCAAGCAATTTCTAAAGCTATATTCTTATGTTATTTTTATCTTTAATAATGTTGTATATTGCAATCACTCTTGAGTTTTTCTCACTAAGCAGAATGAAAATGAGAAATAACTATCACATCTTCAAAGGCCAAAATTAAACTGCGTTCAGCGGTCTTCCCAATATGGGACCATGTCTGTATCTGGTTAACAAAAGCCAGGCAATAAACTCTATGATACAGTAAGTATGCAGTGCAGACAGTAGTGTGAACCATTTGAGAAATCATATTTCTAGTTAATAATACTATGATTTCTTCAGCCAGCCTGAAAACATGGGGATCCTTTGAATAGCCATTTTGGGGCGAATAAAGTTCTATCCTAATTTATCCTAAACTGTAGGTGTTTCTCTCAACTGATCCACTCACTACTTCATCCTTTCTTTCTTCTGATTTTTTAAACATATTTTCTAATTAGAGGGTAGATGGTTATTAATCTACCCCAAGATTAAGCTACTGTACACCACATCTGTTATTTTTTAAGATGTGACAAGGTAACTTGCTTCTGTTTAACTGTCAGAGGCTTTTTCACAGGGTTCCAAGCCCAGGTTCTGCATACCTGATTCTTTTGATTGGATTTGCCAGGGATTTAACCTACACACCTTTCTAGCAATGAGCTATAGTTTGTGCCAGTGTTTCTCAACCTTTAAGCTTGCTGGGGAATTTTGGGAGTTGAAGTCCAGGCATCTTCAACTTGCCAAGGTTGAGAAACACTGGTTGATACCATGGCACCTTCTATAGAAGTGCTAGTTTTAACTTATTGAGGGCATATGTGGCTTGATTTGGGTTTTGCATTGATTTATAAATAATTGGAAAGCCTGTACAGTTTATGAACAGCTTAGAATTCAGTTAGTATAACTGCCCCTGAACTGATATATATAGATAATGGGTTGTGGATATAATAGAACTCTCTTTTAGTTAGATTTCTCTATGTCCCCTAATTTTCTGCTTTGCATGCAGACCCATTAAAGCTTCATGCTATTCTGTTCCGGCTATCATCAGAATTGCACTGCACAGAACTAAGCTGTATGAAGACAACTGAAAAGCCAAAAGGATTAAAAAGAGGCGTGGAAAATGGCAAAACATGACAGCTAATAACAAACCATGGACAATAAGTAAAACACCATACTTTAAAAAATTAAAATAAACTTAAGGAAAATAAGTAATAAGTTTTGATCAATATCATTTTATCCAAACCTTCCTTTGCCATAATTCATGTTGCAATGATAGTAATGACCTTTGCATTGGAATTTCACGCACCTGCTTTCAGGGGAACTCCTCTTTGAGTAAATGTGCAAATGATTACTCTAAAAGGCTAGAAGTTATTCAAAGCTAATTCATTTTTCTTGTTCTTTCACATTTCTTTTTACCGTATTAAAATGAAAGACTACCTCCCAGAATAGGTTAATATATTCCTACAAATGCAACTCTACTTGTCCATTATCAATTTTATTATTTATTCATTTATTTCTTTTACTGGGCTTGTACACCACACCAATGGACATCACCTGTGAAAAGCTTACATACCCATCCTCTGTAAATAAGATTAACAAATGCAACCATCACAGCATGTTTCCTCTTAGGTACCAAGGACCATTTGCTCCATTAGGCCTGCAGGATTTTAAAGTGTTTCCTAACTCCTCCCTCCAGCAGGAGAGACACTATGCCGTTCCAAAAATTAATACTAAACGATAATATTATTATTGTACTATAGTATAGTATTACTATATTCAATTATACTTGTCCCGTTAATAAAAATAGCAGTAGGAGCGCGTTTCTCGAATAAGCGGGAACTGAGTTTAAACATCAGTTAAGAAATCTGAGTAATAAACCAGGTAGAAAAAACAACAACAAGCCAAAAAAAACCCCACAATAAAAAACCGCGCGCAAACGGAGCAGCGAAGCCCGCGATTTACCCGGCGTAGCGGTTGTCGTAAAGGTAGGTGCGCCCGGGCACCTCAGCCCGCTGCTGGACGAGGAGCAGCCCAACGGACAGGAAAGCAAGTGCTCGCCGGGGAAGCTCCATGGTCGCCGCCGCAGGATCCCGAGAGAAGACGGGACAGAACCGTCGTCTGTCTTGCGTGTAAACGTGTCCAGCCACCCCGAGAGGACGAGGTTTGGAACGGGAGGGAGGAGCAGAGGGTGGGAGTGGGATTTCTTCTTTTCCCTTGAGGGGAAGAAGGGTGTGTGTGTGCGTGCGTGTGTGTGTGTGTGTGGGGGGGCGAAATAGGAGGAATTGCCGTTCGTGCGCTACACGTCAGATAAAGTCTGTCAAAGAAATGAGCAGCTTTGAATGGACTCTAACTCCCATCATTCTCAGCTTTGATTAAGCTACGTGGGGTTGATGAGGGTCGTAGTTCAACATGGAAGTCACCAAGGTTGGGGAAGGAAGGAAGGAAGGAAGGAAGGACTTTCTTAAGAGATTAAGAGTTTTGAGAACTGAACCATCAAAGCATCTTGTGGTATTTTAAAGGCTAGCAAGTGTCTTATGGCATAAACTTTCATGGATTATAAACAGTGGTCTTAGAAAGAAATTAAAGAGAGATGGTAATACTTTATTAATTATTTTAATTAATATAGATTAAATATTGTATCAATTGCCTTAGATAATGAGTTTTCAGTTTGCTTTTCACATTGAGGTTGTAGCTTTGTTCCCTGCTTTAGAAGAATTAGGGGCCAATTTTGTGGGAATGGTAACAGATTTTTTGGCAAGAACAGATATATGTAAAACAGGAAAAGTAGGAAAACAAGTATGTACTATTCTAAGCATGTTTACTCCAAAAAAAGCCCCTTAAGTTGTTTTTGCATGTTATACCTATCATAAACGGAATCACTGTATACTGAAATGAGTTTTCTGGGCTTGTAGGATGCACCAAATCATTGACATGGGCTGGGTTTGCATAACACATTAGATTTGCTTGTGGGTCATGGGAATGCAGCCATGGGTTTTCAGAAAGCTGGACCTGCATGTTTTGTATATGAAAGAAACTTTTTGAAATTCCTAGTATAGGCAGGAAGGGTGCAAAAGACTTCTGTCTAAAACCCTGGATAACTGTTGTCAGTCAGTATACAGACAATACAAAGCTAGATGAACCGATGGTTTGACTCAGTACAAGGCAATTCTGGGGGCTGTAAGGCCAGCAGTAGGCAAGCAGTGGGCATATTCACAAAATGACTACCTTGGGGAATTTGCCTATTCATTGGCAATCATGGTAGGTAGGATAAGCCACGAAGCACCTGTTGATCATAAAGCAAACTGCTAAAGTAGCACCTCACCATTTCTTCTCACACCCAGAATATTCTCTCCCATTTTACATTATTTTTGTTGTTTTTTTCTGAGTGGGTGTACACTCCTAGCAAAGCATTGGACTACAGCCACTCACTACTTTTATTTTCTGAGAGTGCCTCTGGTGCCTGTATGGGGCCCAGACACATTTTTGTAAATAATCAAGATGATGCTAGAGGCTGATGTTTTACTTTGCAGGATGCCAGTCTCCCTTTAAAAAATTAATTTGGTATAAATAAGCTTCAATAAGAATAATTGCGCCAAGGGAAATATACACAAGTATTTTGCCTGCTCCTGGATTATAGACTAAAAGCTACTGACTTACTCAAGACCATTAAATAATGTTGTGGTTCAGTAAAGATATTAAGCTATATCTACCCAGAGTTTTCAGGTAGTAATTGAGAACTAGAATTACAGATGAACTTATCCAAGTCCTGCACTGGATTTCTACACTGGGCAGATTGTTGGACTAGATTATATCCAACCCTTATCTATCATGTTAAGTCATTATAAAGAGTCATTCATGTTTCCTGTACATTTGGGTTTTTTAAATAATATTTTATTGAAATTTTAAAGATGCATATTTAAAAGTTAGAAATAGAAAAGAAAATTTGAAATACGAAATATAAAGAAAAGAAAAAGTGAAGTAAAGTAAAAATAAAAAAAGGTATGAAAAATAGATAACTTCCAATCTATCTCTGGTCTTAGAAATAATAAGGCTATCATAAGCGCTAGTTTTTAGTACATTAAATAAGAATAATTCTTTGTCTAATATATCCCATTACATTTATAATCTAATCTTC